TCCTGTGCCCATTTTTTAATTGGGTTATTTGTCTTTTTCTTATAGAAGTGTTGTAGTTTCCTATATATTTTAGAAATGAGTCCCTTGTCTGATGTGTAGTTGCCAAAGATTTTTTCCCATTCTGTGGGTTCCCTTTTTACTCTTCTGGTGAAGTCTTTTGATGCACAAAAGTGTTTAATTTTTAGTATGTCCCACTCATCTATTTTGTCCACTTTTGTTTATGTTTTCAAAATGTCTGGCAGTCCGTGTATTCCCTGAATTAGTGCTGAGGGCTTAACTTTGCATCATCCAGGGACTCCTTATATGTATGGTGGCTTTTGCTTTGAGTTGGATCACTAAAATATAATGTCTAAGAGAAGTGTGACTTTTTACTGGTTTTGTTAATTGCTATATTCACAGTGTCTAAAGCTCTCAGTTCAACTCTATTAACTATTCTTTTTTTAAAATTACTTACAGTTTCTATTTTTGGATTACTAAACTCCATATGGAGTCCTGGTGTGGCTGGAGGATAAGCACTGGGCCACCGATTGGTTTGAACTGCAAGGTCAGCAGTTTAAATCCACCCACTGCTCTTTGGAAACCCTTTACAGGGTTACTGTGAGTCAGAACTGTCTTGATGGCACTAAACAACAACAAACTCCATATAAACTATGGAGTCCTGGTATGGCGCTGTAGGATAAGCACCAGACTGGTGACCAGAAGGTTACTGGTTCAAACCCACTAGCCACTCCTTGGAAGCAGGGTGGAACTGATGGCACATAACAACAATAATATGAACTATTAGTAATCCAAAAACGGAGTTCTGGTGTGGCTCTGTGGGCTATTGCGTCATGACTGCGAAGTCATTTGAACTGCAAGGTTGGTGGGGTTCAAGCTCACCAGCTGCTCCTTGGAAACCCTATACAGGGTCGCTATGGGTCGGAATCAACTCAATAGCACTTAACAGCAACAACAATCCAAAAAAATAGAACAGTTAACAGATTTTTATTGAGTGCTTTAGATGCTGGGAATACAACAGTTAACAAAACCAGAAAAACATCACTGTTCTCCTGGAGCTTATATTTCAGTGATCTAGTTCAAAGCAACAGTTAATATCAAACTTGGTAATAAAATACCACAGGAATTAAAGTGAGGGCAATATGCTTACTATTACTATATGGCATTGTTCTGAAGTTCTAGCGAATTCCATGATCAAGTAAAAGAAACAAAATAAATGTAAAAACTATACATATATATATATATATAACCATCATGATTTGCAGAAGATTTGACACCTAAAAGTCCAACAGTTTGAACTACAAGATCAGGAGTTCAAACTCATCATTTGTTCTTTGCAAATCCTATACAGGGTTGCTGTGAGTCAGAACTGACAGGATTTGCAAAGAACAAATGATGAGTTTGAATTCCTGACCTTGTAGTTCAAACTGACCATGCGGTCCTGCACTTATTCTACAGTACCACACCAGGACTCCTCGCATTAAGGTATTTGGTTACAAATGAAATATGTAAAACCCATAGTTTTTCCAAACAGCTATTATGAAATAATAAAAGGGGGAAGGGGAAGTCAGCCACTTGGAGGGATTTTGCCCCTTAATCTTTTCTTAATCTTGTCAAGAAAACAAAAATCCTCAC